CCGGCGGGAGCACCGTCATCACAAGGACCAGCAGAATCATTCATTTTCGGATGATCAAATATTTAGCGCTGTAACTGTACAACGTTGTTCTCATGTCTAAATAAATTCTAGTCTCAAAATAACAGAGAACTTTTTTTACCAAAAATAAAATAAAAAAAATAAAAAATAAAAAACATGATTGTTAGGTTGTGACATATTTCAAGTTTCCATTGGTATTTTAGTTGTCTTGAACAACTTCAAAACAGTGTTTAAACAAGATTATCCTAAATCAAAATATAATAACAAGATGTACATTTTGCTTGTTACAGTCAAAATTGTTTTACTTTTGATTGCTAAAACTTTGTGTTATGCCTATAGGTCTAGAAACTTAAAAAATCATAGTACAAGTGAACAAGACCTATTGCTATTAGTTTCGAACAAAAGACTACTAGAAATAGTTAAGAATTATTAAGATACGTGTAACATCATTCACACTAACTTCACAAATTCCATAACTGTTCATAAACTTGTGACCAAGTTTTCTTTCAGATACCCAAACAAGTTTTCTTACAGATTGCAGTCTTCTCTACCTTCGTAAACATAAGAGGCACTCCTTTTGGATTATAAAGCATCTTAAAATTTAGAAAAGACATGGATATTAGCCAAGATTAACAGATTTACCACATAAAAGTTTCATTCTAATCTTTCATCGCTTCATGTTGTCATGCAAGCATAAGGGTTAGTCATATCCATGAACAAGCTTTAGGAAATCAGAGATTTCATTCCCTCTAAAATTGACAAAAGGAAAAAGCCAAATAAACATTAAGGGTCTAATTTCAAGGGAAAAAGCAAGAAAATCATGATGGCCTCAGCAAGTAGGGGGGATATTTGGGATTTTGTTTGACTTGAATTTGACGTCACCACAAACAGAAAATCACATTCGAAACAGAAACATTATAGAACGAAGCCATTGTTATCCTAATGTCATAACATTTGATAAATGAGATCAGACTTACCTCTTATTTGGCTGTCATCCACCAATCAACATCCAGCGAAGGAATATCTCATTAAGAATCATTCAATCATTCAAGAAGGCACACACGAAAATTTGTGATTTTGAGCTTTGAAAGCTCTAAGAGAGAAACAGAGAAGGAAAATAAAAAGAGCTAGACAAGAATGAGGGATGTTCCCTATGATTTTACAGGCATCAAATAAGTTCTTTTTGGGGGATTTTCTAAATGCATTTCTTGTTCGAATATTCTGATTTGATTGAAAGATCATCTTATCATGACAACAAAGAAAGAAACTGGGGAGGGAAAGAAAGAGGATGCATGGAGGGTGGGGATTCTAAAAAACTAAACAAATCAGTTGTTAAAGAATTAGCCATTTTTAGTAACTGAGTCAGATATATTTGGTAGGCATTATCCTTATACTATATAGAAACGAAATCTGGTCAAAGATGAGTTTTGAATTTCAACCGCATGGGTTGGGATATTTTTATATTTTGTGGATGTTTTGAGTGTGATTATAGCGTGGGATACAACTTATTGTACAATATATTTCTGGTATTTATGAAAATGCCCTTGTAGTCGATTCAATGCAATGCTGATCTGTCCAAAGTTATAAATATTTTGGGAATGTGAGATTATTTAGGTTAGTGTCCGAAAAAAAAGAGATTATTTAGGTCATCCTTCAAGCAGTGGGTACAACTCATCATATCTTTGGTTCTAAGATAATTATGTAGATGCCCTTGCAAACACCCTCATTGCCCTCTCCCTAATGAATATAGCATCAGTGAGAAAGAATTCTGTTCAACATACTTCAAGCTCGTAATGGACCCTCATTATTGTCCCAACCCCCTCTACCTTGGAACTTATCAATAAACTTCAAGTCTTCAACTAATCAAAACTCGTTTTTTGGTCTCCAAACTCTTCTATTCGATAAAACAGATTTTGGTTCTAACAAACTACTACATTCTTAGTCATTTCAATCCACAACCTACAATCAATTGAATTAATTATTGTCTAAGTAACAGTTTTTTTAAAAAAAAGAAAAATAGCTTGTTATTATTATTATAAGAGATTCAAAGTACATAGAGAGAAACACCACCCCCAGCCTGCGTGACCGATTAAACAAAGTTACTCTCTATATCTACCCCTACGGAAACTAGGACAACCCCACCTATTTAAAGTAATATCTCTTCTAACCATGTGGGGAAGGTCAAGGACGGAATCATAAACTACTGACTCCCCAGAATCAGCCCCAAGCTTAGGAAGTCTATCCGCAGGTTTATTCGCTTCTCAAAAACAATGTGATATCTCGATGTAGAGATGACTATACTGGACCAATTCTTGTAATTCCCGCTGCACCACCCACGGACACTTAGCTCTACCCTGAATAAGCTGGATAAGAACTAACGAGTCAGACTCCAAATGAAAATTGGCCAGCCCTCGAGCTATTACTAACTGCACCCCATGGAGTAGCGCTTTGACTTCCGCTTGTAAACTAGTCATCTCCCCAAAGTAACAGGAGAATGCTAACAGGACTCTCCCATCACTATCCCTGAACAGACCTCCCCCTCCACTCCTCCTAGGGTTGCCCCTTAAGCATCCATCTGAATTTAACTTCACGATTGCTTGCACCGGACATTTCCATCTAACCTGCACCACATTCACAACACTTCCCAACCCAGCTACTGCATCAAAGAAACTAGGCCACGATGAACAAGGAATAATAATTTCCCGGAACTGAACGCCGAACCTCTCTCTAAACTCAATAAAAACTCGGTCACAAACTTGTTTCATAGTCAACAGCTTCTCTTTAAAAACAAACTTATTTCTCGCTTTCCATAAGTTCCAACAAATCAGTGAGGACAGAAGTCGAAATAATAACTTAATATAGGGGCATTTACCAGATTTTAGCCACCAACTAATCACCTTATGCCTTATCGTAAAAGCTTCACCAAACCCGCCAACCAACACTTCAAAGAAACTCCAGACCTGTCTAGCAACATCACCAATACAAAAAATATGGTTAATAGTCTCTTGAGAAGGGTCTCGACAGCAAAAACACCGAGAAGGGCCTACTACCCCAAATTTATGCAATACACCCATAACAGGTATCCTGCCACTCATTAATCGCACCATAAAAAAGGAGACCTTCAAAGGTAAGACCTGATGCCAGAAAAAAGAAAAGAGTCCAGAACTGTTATCACCTTGCTGCACCACCTAATAGGCTGACGCTGTAGAAAACTCACCCGAGGTACTTGGAGCCCAAATCATTTTGTCTACCTGACCTGAAGATGGTGGATCAACATCCAAGACCCACTGCACACAGTGCATAGGCAAAACCTAATATAACCTCTGCACATTCCAACCACCTTGAACCACAAAATCCGCAACTGGTTGTTCTTGAAAAATTTCCACTTGTCGACACAGCAGCCCTGATCCTAACCAATTATCGTGCCAAAAACTTGAGTTTCCACTACCCACTATCCACCTTATATGCCTCTCTGCCACCAACCAAGCGTCCAACATCCTCCTCCAAGTAGCAGACTGCCCTGGGCAAGTTCGAATGCATGAACTGTACCCATAATGATTGCCTCTACCTGAACTACCACCACAACTTCAGAGAAAACGCATCAAAGACATGCTGTAATGACCGTAAGCCCACACCTCCCTCCCCATAAGGCTTACATAGCTGGCCCCATTTGATCCAATTGTGAAGCTTATAAGTTAGAATTTGACTAGTTTAACTACTCCTGCTCTTCAGTTTAGTACAACTTTCAAAGAGGTATTTCTGTTCCACCAAATTTTCATTTGCTTGCTTTCACAGAACTCTGTGTATGATTGTTTTCACCATCATAATTTCATTATTTATGTGGAGTTTTTGAAACACATAGCCAATGTTTGACATCATTGCAGGGTTAATAGTGAAAATATCACATCTGTTCGCAAACATTGCGAAATATCATTAAGCACTTTCTACATATGGCTTCCAACTTCAATTCATGTGAATAATTTCTTCTCATTTTGGCTTCATAATTTTCAAAGTTCAAATTTAAGCCCTCTAATTCATTAAGTTTTGCTCCATATTTGCATAATATGATACACATCATTGAACTTTTGTTTGAAAAATTATTACAACATGAAGACATAGTATTGTGATAACCATTCATTTCCTAAGTTTTAATCTAACTCGTCTCATCTATACTCAAATCAAGAACAATGATTGGAAACTTGCTCCATTGTCTGAAATACAACTTTTTACACGTAATTGGAGCACTGTTATTAACGTGATTGACAAATAGTAGCCACAGTTCTCAACTCAAAAGTTGAAAAATGCTATCAGAAATACATCTTTGCCAATGCTCAGGTATAATACCAGTAACTAAGAATCAACCCTATGTTTTGGTACAAAGGTTTTGGTTTTTGGGTATAAATTAAAAAATTACACCTTAGTGTTGCAAAAAAATGATTTATTTTTCATCATCAATTTTTCCTTTTATAGAGGTAGAATAACAAACCAACCTCAAATGTATCCTAATAATAGGGGGGGAGGCCCGCGCAATGCGCGGGAGTGGGGTGCCTGTGGGTCGCGCAATGCGCACTCCATAATGCGCGTGGTGAGATCTATCTAACCTTCGTAAATAATAGTGAAGAGAGAAAAGATGGAAGTTGTAACTGAGAAGCCGTACGAAAATAATAGAGAACCACATCATAGTATTATAAAAAACCATAGCTTAGATCAGGATGTTTGAGTTCATGACCATACGGACAGGGATATAGGCCCAATGATAGTTTCAGATTTAGATTAAATGCTCAGTGGCTCCTTTTCTAAGAAGGTATAATAGACCACCTTGCACTTAACCTAATTTGAAACAGTCTTATTTTAGATACTTCTATTTACATAGAACAGATAAAGGAAAAGTTCAGCCAAGTTTGTCCGTTAAAGTAGTAGTACTTAGGAATAATGAAGATCCATTCGCAAAGGATATAACTTCAAGGATGGGCTTTGGCAGTTTAGGTGCGGTGTTTCTTAGTGGGGTTGACTCTGAGTTTCATTGGGGCTGCTGCAACTGCTGCCTTTTTCTTCTTATCTTCTGTGTTAGAAGGACTGAGTTGATCCACTCCTTTGCTTTGTGTTTCTCCTTCCATTATGCTGTCAACTTTTTCTATTGCCATATTTTCAGCCATGTCGGTAACATTCTTTTTGGAATGTTCTTCTTGTGCTGCTGCCCAAGTGGATGCTGTAGCTTTGTAGTTGGTGATATATTTGCTGATGACATAGTTTTCTTCTGCAGTAGCATTGTTGATATGGGCAACTATGGCATTGTACTTTTCTGAGCTCCTGGAACTGTGGATTGTATTTGATTTCTTGACCAAGCAAACTAAGTTTTTCTGCTTGATGAAATCTGCTATAGTGGCGTACTGGACATTTCCCTGTAGGAAGAATAGAGACTTTAAGTATTTATTTGAAGTGAGCAGAATGTTGCAAAGTAGTTTTGAGTTCGAATGTACCTGCTGCTCTTGCTTTTGGATGTCACTTATGCAGAATGGGAGGAGTTGTTCAGCATCATCACCACTCAGGTCAAGAGTTATAGCACCACTCATATCACTAATTTGCACTGTTAGTCTGCAGCTGTTTTTGGGTTCATGTTATTAGAAGCTTTTTTGGCAGCAGGGGTTGTTAATATTAGATTAAGGTATATGTTTACCGTGGAGTGAGACGGATGCGCTGGTAGCATGAAGTGCAGGTGATCTCGCAATCTGGCCTTGCTCTGATGTATTTGTAGCAATGGGGGCATGAATGGTACCATAGCTTTTGACTTCTATCTAGAAGTTTTGGTATGCCTCTAATCCAATAGGGCCTTGCCTGCAATGAATGAGCATTGTATTATTACAAAGGCTCGGACAAGTATACCAAGTTTGCTAATAGTAATAGAAGTCAAAGTAGATAATCAATTTTGTAGCACTGTTAACCTATTGTGTTAAGCCATTTGTTAACATCTAGTACGCCAGGCAAGAATTTTATTAGGCCCAGAAGACCCTCTTATAAAAGATAATGCAAAGCATATGATTCTTGAATTTCACATGGGCGAGAGTTTCATAATAAAACTATAGAATCCATCAAGCAATTAAAAAGAATTAAAAAGCTTTACGCTACAGTGAGGTTCACAAGAGAGAAAGTACAATTTGACAAGTAAGATAATGAGTAGGGGAAAAAATGGTAATTACGCAGTAGCATTAAAACACGAAATTCCACCTACAAAGTCACAGAGATGCAAAAATACGAAGAAATGGGACAAACAAGTAAATAAAAAATTACTGGGTAAAATGGGAAAACAGGAGCTACTAATTTCATTAACGAGGACAAAATTACTGGATGAAAGCCCGTATATCCGGAAAAACCAAATGAAAGGGAGCATTAATTAGTTCTACAAAAACGTACAGATACAATGAAAACTAAACTGAAGACATTTTTGCCCAAAACATTCAAATCTCATTACCAATCAATCAGGAGAGTAGGGAATGGTAGTTCAAGCTTGTAGTCAGTATAATCCAATTCGATAACCCACAAGCCAATTTTGTAATGGAAGAGACTACAGACTTTTTGGCTGTTGGCATGCATGCAGAAATAAAGGATTGTGAGTGAGTTGTATATGTACCTCAACCACAGCTGTGAGATCGCTGATAGTTATAACTCTGTCATCATCTGGTACAGGTAGGAGTTTGAGACGATCACCATAAGTCCGCTCAGCAATGAAACGCGTGATTTCCTCTTGATTGTGACTGCACCTAATATTTTATTTGTTGTAATGTAAAGGATAGTAAGCCTTTTTGGTAATGAATGTTGAATAATTTATAATGTAACTATTTTAAAGTAAAGTTACCAGTTACGCAGGTCATTGGCTTGCTGAATTGGAGGATTGATTAGTATGCTACTGGAGAATTTGGTGGATAGATGCATGGCTACAAAGTTGACAATAGCAACATAAGTTTTTCCTTTTCTGGTTTCAGTCAACTTAGGATTTTTGTAAATGGTTTTTAAAAGAGTACGTACCATGGTAAGATGTCACTCGGACTCGAAGCGCTGCAACCACAGGTTGGGTGTGGATCATATCAGCTATGTCTTGTCCCTCTTCTGATTCATGCTCTCCCCAAAGGGTCAGTACCATTGGGTGCGACATGTGATCTGTAAGAATGATATCCCTAGTTGGTGTTCCACCTCTGATTGCTTTCGGGTGCACGTGAATTGCTATTCCAATAAGATCTAATAACCAGAGTTTGATATTAAAAAGTGTAACTATGACTATGTAAATTATATGTTAAGGTAAATCAGGAATGGTACCTATTTCATCAGTTGTGTCAATGTGCTGATAAACTGAATCGTAGTCAGCAAAGTTAAACACATTAGGTATCAGAGGGGGGTCCACTTCATCGATTTCTTGGACAAGCGTGGAGTTGTCAATGGTCCATGAGCACTCATTTGGGTACGTACTGTACCTTGGCAACACATTTTGAATCCTAGCATTCGATACATAATATCTTCGATATGGTTCAAAGTACTTCCTGAAGAACATTATATCTCCAGCATAAATTAGAGCTTGAGCAGTTTGACCCTGTAATTTTGAATACAGTAAGTGCTATGGTAATTAATTAGTTGTGTATAGTGCCAAAGTATGCAATGATAAGCTATATTACCTGACTATCAACAAACACCAACTTTTGGTAGCGTTTTCCATTTCTTGAAACCTGAACCTTTTGCTTTTCAATCACTTGAACAATGGCAGTCCAGTTGTCCATGAGAGGTTGGAGTTCTGTGAAGTTTACCAGGTTGCTTTCCATTTTTTGACGTTTGAAGAGTGCTGCAGACAACTACCACAAAATCGAAGGATTCCAAAGACAAGAGTTACACTCCGAAGTAGTAAGTTCATAGAATTTAAATATAATATATTACTAAGACATTTACTGGTACTTTATTTGCTATTTACATATAACAGAGTACTGGAATTATTGACAAGATAGCTGCAATACATCCTTGTAAACTATATTAGGAGTCACATAATCTAAACTTGAATCATATACAGGAGGTGTGATCAAAATTTTAACAGATTTGCTATTTTTAGCTCTAGATAATGCAACATACAGCTGCCCATGTGAAAAAACAGGTTCTCGCAAATAAATGCCAACATAATCTAAAGTTTGCCCTTGAGCTTTATTAATGGTCATTGCAAAACAAAGTCTTATAGGAAATTGCATTCGTTCAAAAGATATAGGAGAATTAGGGTCATTTTCAACACGAAAGCAAATTCTATGTAGAAATACTTGCTTCCCAGCAAATTCACCAGAACTTATGACTGCATCTATAATATTGTGTTTAAGTGATTTGCATAGAAGTCTTGTTCCATTACATAGACCTTCTGGTGGGTCAATGTTTCTCAACAACATTATTGGTGCATTTTCTTTCAATGTCAATCGATGTGGAGGAAAACCATTTGGAGTGTGGCTATTCATGAAGTCCTCTAAAATTGCTTGCTGCGAATTATCTAAACATTTATCTCTGCTTAAATAGTCAAATGGGGTTCCGGGAAATTCCTGTATCAATTTTTCATTGATCTGATCTACAAAATCATTTTTTGTAGTTAAAATTGCTCTATTAATTAATGAGTATGTATTTTCAGAAAATATGTTGAAGTTTGGATAGACAGTTGTAATCAATTGATTTATGGATTCTGCTTCATTTGTATAGCGAAGAAGCAATGCTTGAGAGATGTGAATACTTTCATTTTTAATTGTGTTTTCTGTTCCATTACCTATACGAAGAAGGTACTTGCTAAAATCAGGATCTAATCTTGCTCTCATGTTTTCCTTCAATTTTAATTTCTGCAGATGAGGCCAAATATAAGATTTTACAAGGCTAGCTTCGATAAAGTCTGATTTTGACCCTTTTACAACTACCGGCAGAACTTGCCTAAAATCACCACCAAATACCATCACTTTTGACCCAAATAATTCAGAGTTATCCATTAGGTCTCTAAGTAAACGATCTACTCCCTCAATTCCTGCTCTATGTGTCATAGGCGCTTCATCCCAAATGATCAATTTGGCTTGCTGTAATAACTTTGCCAATGAGCTTTGTTTGCTTACTTTGCACATGTTGTTAGGATTCATGTCTAAAGGAATTTTAAATCGTGAGTGGGCTGTTCTACCTCCAGGTAAGATAGAAGCAGCTACTCCACAAGAGGCCGTTGCCAAAGCTATACATCCCTTTGATCTAACTGCAGCTAGTAGTGCACGGTACAAGAATGTTTTCCCTGTTCCCCCAGGCCCATCAATAAAGAAACTTCCTTTGCTGTGTATAAAAACAGCATCTATGATAGTATCAAATGCTACTTTTTGATCCTCATTTAATTTAGAGATAGCAGCAATATCTTCTTCATTGACTTTAAAGTTTAGCTCAGAATTTGTGTCTCTTGTACCTCTATCCATTTCATCAAACTTTAAGATTCGTGGTACTAATCCATACATATTAATGTTTTTTCCCATTGATTCTAAGAACTTGCTAATCTCATAGAGAACTTTATGTTGGACCTGATCGTTTGACAAATTCAAAGTTCTATTGAAATCTTCTGACATAGATTCTTTGAATTTTAACCATAAACTTCTTGGATCAGCAGGAGTGAAGTAAACTAATAGGGTAGCAAATAGTCTTCTAAAGCTATATGGCATGTGGTATAAAGCTGCTTCTTCTAGGCACTGCTCTTGAGGGTTATTGGATTCAAATAATCCTCTCATTATTGCTGCTTCTCTAAAGGTATTAACATAAACACCATCGACAGTTTTCAGGTCATCAAATGATGTTGGCCCTTTTACATTCAATAACAATAATCTTAAGAAGTACCTCTCACCCTCACTTGGATTTGCTGTAACAATTCGGCCTATTGAACCTCTTTGTTGCCTAATATCCCATATGCGTTTACCAGGTTTCCACACAAAATGTTCAGGAAATTCTTTGTATGTGCATTTCAATGTTTTGGCTCTCTCATCAGTAGCATTCATATGGAAAAATTCAGTTAGCATACTTTTCTTAGCAAATTTACTTTTCAAAAGATCTCTAAGATCAGCATCATCTTTGAAGGTCAGAGATTGGTAATTTTCAAGATGTAGCTGAAGGTTAATGACAGCAGGATGTGTTTCAAATAAGGGAAATCTGTAAATTCGCCAAATGGCTTCAATAGGAGAAACCCATCTTGCTGATTGGTACTCCTTAATTTCATCTATCTCTTTAGATCTGTCATCTGAATTCACAGCAAAGTGTATTTTATCATGTCCCTTATATATGTACTTATAAGTATACTTGACTACCTTTATTGTTGAGCAAATTTCAACATTCATATGGCAATTGAATTTTGCTAACAAGTAAGGATTATATGGAACTACCCATCTATTATCCAATTCATGGCCTCGAACTTTTACCTTTTCTCCATTGCTCCTCCGCCTATATGTTGGATAAGAATTTTCAGATTGTGTAGTTTTTTCTGCCCACTGTTTAGGATAATGATTTTTGCATTTTTTTAACTGTTGTACCTTGCATACACACATTATCTGCATTTTTGTCGCCACAAGGACCATGCATCATGTGCTTGCGAACCATTTTAAACAAGTGTGGATGCTCTTTTTTGTCTGGAATCTCAGCAGAAACTATGTGATCATAGGATTCCGTTGAATATAATTTAGACGCTGGGTG